TAAGAAGTGATGACTTGTCAGCAGACCACTGTCTTTTGAACAATCATTTAATTTACATGGATTTTATGGAACAATTCTTTGATCTATTCAGAAGACTTTAAAGCTCTGTAACTTCTTTGTATTATATACTACAAAGAAAATACATTCTCATGACATTTATGATGAAAATCATATATGTGTGTGTGTGATGATATAAAAGGTTTTGTCTCATTTGAACACATTTATCTCAATTAAAGGAATGCATACAAGCTAAAACAGCTGACTCAGCTCTTTCAACCAAATGATCTACTTCAACTGACTAAAACCATATAAAACTAGCTAAAAGCAGCCTATATAAGACTAACCAAAGCAAATTAAATAAATCCAGAGCAGTTTGGAAATATCCAGAGTAGCTAATCCCATAATTGGAAATAGGATTATAAAAACTATATAGTATGTAGGCCAAAATGCTTTCCGTTGCCTGTCTCTCTTGATGAGAAAGGAATTGCAAGGACCTATTTGTATCAGAATTATACAGTAGATTTGTATATTTCTATGTATGATTTTCCATATTTATGTAATTCTGCATAACATTAAACATCTAAAATGTTCATATAATGATATTCACAAAGATGGGTTTCCTGATACAAAATGTTCTCCTACTATGTAAATGCAGATCTCAACTTCTATTTAACTGCAGATAAAACATACCTATTCCTGGATAGTAAAATAAATCAAATGTTGCAAAGCAGCACCAGTGTACATTTGTATTATCACAGTTAGTGTAAATAAGACATGAAAATCCATTTCTAAAATATATATAACTTCTTTTCACAATCCTCTATACAGTAATGTCATTGGGTTTTTTTTAAGAAAAGCTAATGTGTTATTAATTAGCATTTTCAAACTATACAGAAACTACTATGTATATCTTTTGGTTGAAGCAAGTGAGTAAGTAATAAATAAAATTATTCTTTCCAGGATATATAGCCTGTCTACTTATAAAGATAGCAGTGGAAATTATTCAGATCATACACTAAATATTAAGAATGCAAACAGTGAACTTCTATGTGCTATCATTTATTATTTTAATGCAATAATGAAAGGCTTTAATTTGAACCTGTAAAAATTAAAAGTATTGATACTCCAGAAAGGCTATTTTCAAAGCTATTTAAAATGACTGCCTCACAATTGTGGAAAATCTATGAAAGATTCACAAATGTTCCAGGATCTAAAAATTTCCACAATGGATATTATACACATTTGAGGGTTTCATCATTTATTATATAACTGAATATTGTTACTGAAAATAAAATGGAAGAGAAAATTACCAATATAAGTTTTACAGATGCAGATCAAAAAGCAACTATGAATGTTTTAACAAGATAGTATCCTTTTATGCAGTTAAAATAAACTTTGATAAATATTTATCATACTAAATTTTCCAGACTTCATAGATACAAGATTAAGAACTAAATAACTAAATCCTCCCAAGAGTCTACTCAGAAGTTGATTAAAAACATTACAATCTAAATATTTTTTAAATGCTCAAATATTTTATTCTAAAAAAATCAGTTAATAATATAGTAGAAATGTTTTCAAATGAAATTTTGAAAGAAAAATTGAAAACATTTTTGAAAACATGAAACATTTTGAAAAATAGCTTTAAAAAATCCTACCATTGTTTGAGATTCAATAACAATTTGTCAGATAACTTTATATGATACATTCAAGAGAAGTAAAATATACTGATGCAACTGTGCATGTTAGAGACCTAGTTCTCTGTGCATCAGTTCAGGGCTAACTTGTCAATAGCATTTACTTTCAAATATGTTTTTTTCCTTTTCCAGATTGCTTTAACCCTGAGGAAACAACATCTATTTTTCCATAGTAAACAATCTGTAATTTTCCAGCTATACAACTGCAGCCTCCAAATGCAAGTGAGATCACTCACCTACATTTTCTGCATATATAGCACATTTTTCAAGTTCCTGAGTATGAAACTTGAGAAGATCTAGAGACCTCTAGAATAACATAAAACCTTCCAAAAGAATACGCTGGGGCTGTGGGACCAAAGACTGCAACTCCTGAAAAAGTCATGGTATTTTCAAGGTGCAATTTTGGGTAAAATTCTCTTATCCATAATCCTGATTAAGGTAGTTTTACACCCCTAACACTCAAGCCATGGTTTATTTAATTAAACCAATGGCTTCAATTTGCAGAACAAAACCAACCATTTATATAACAGCCTATCCAAACTAAATTTCATCCTGGCTTAACCTTAGCCTCCCCGCAAGACCACGGAGAGAATTTAGGAAAACAATCGCCACGGTGATGCGCAGCTTGAAGGGTACAGGATCAAGGAAGGAGTTTGTCCTGCGCATATTTCGGCATGAAGGTTTGTATGGTGTGACGGCACAAAATCCAGATAAACCTTGCACGCGGGGAATTCTAATAATAATAATAATAATAATAATAATAATAATAATAATAATAATAATAATAATAATAATAATAAGAATAAGAAGAAGAAGAAGAAGAAGAAGAAGAAGAAGAAGAAGAAGAAGAAGAAGAAGAAGAAGAGTCTCTCTCCCCCCCTTTCTCTCTCTCTCACACACACACAGTCCTTCCACAGCACATGCTCCTCGCAACCTACTGTTGCAGTTTTCCACGGCTCAGGCGCTCTCGCTCCCTGCTCCCCCAAGCTCTCCCGCAACGTTCATCCACACCTCCCAACCCCACGCGGCAACCCTTCCCTGCGTCAACCGCTGCAGCCGCCCCCTTCCATCTTTGAACTTGCATTCCCATTCTCCTGCCTCCCTGCTGCGACATCCGTGCTTCGTCACCCCAACCACCACGCCAACCAACCCTTCGCTGCCCGAGTCCCCCGCCGCCTTCCCAGCCGCGCAGAGCCCTGCCCGCACGGACCGGCTTCCCGCGGTCCCTCCTCAAGCTCGCCTTCCCCTCCCTCCATTCCCAAGCCCGTCCGCCCCGCACAGGCTCCTCGTACCCCCTAACCATAGCCGTCCTTCCTGGCCGCCCTCAGCCCTCCGCCGCATATGTCACAGAGAGGGCGACGGCAGCCGGCCTCGCTACGCTTCCTGCAGCCATTAAGCGCGGCCTGCTCGTCTTACCTGTCAGCGGAAGACCCGTCCCCCCCCCGCCCCGCACGCAAGCAGGCAGGCAGGCAGGCAGGCGGCCGGCCAGTTCCGCATCAACAGCACGGGGTGGAGCAAACCAAGAGGCGGAAAGAGGGCGGGCGTTGGACGCTGGGAACGGACCATTAAGCCATTCCGAGGGGACAGAGCCGAGCAGGAAGCAGGCGCGAAGCCCGAAGGGGCGGGGAGGGGCGTCACCGTCAGGGGCTTGAGTACCAAGGCCAGCGCATCCCAGGGCCGAGCAGAAGCGCTAGCCCCGTCACAGGTATGTTCTTAATAATAAGCCGTGTCCCCCCTCCCTACAACATTAATCCAATTGCTGCATAAAAGTGAGAAAGCCGGATCCTACGTTTTCAGAAGCGACGAAAGAATAGGACGCCAGGTTCCAAAGGAGAATCAGAATCAGGATAACAGAGTTGGAAGGGTCCTTGTAGGTCAGTGTTTCTCAACCGGAGAGGTTCCTGACGGAGCTTGGGCCATATCCGGAGGCGTTAGGTCACGACTCGGCGGAAGATCAGGCCGCGGCCTGGGATGCGGCCGTGGCCGCGGCACTGGACCGAGTCGTGCCGCTGCGGCCTCTGACCCGGCGTAGATCTCAATTAGCTCCTTGGTTTACTGAGGAGCTGAGAGAGATGAAACGCCGGAAAANTTCCAGCAAGCGGGACTGGCCTAGGGGATTTTATAGGGGTTTTAATTACTTTTAAATTTGACATTCTTAAATATTTCATTTTAATCAAATTTTAAATTAGGTGTAATATGTTAGCTTTTTATCATTTGTCAGCCGCCCTGAGTCCGAAAGGAGAAGGGCGGGATATAAATACAATTAATAAATAAAATAAATAAATAAACCTTGACAATTTTAAGGCCTGTGGACTTCAACTCCCAGAATTCCACAGCCAGCATTGCTGGCTGTGGAATTCTGGGAGTTGAAGTCCACATGCCTTAAAATTGTCAAGGTTGAGAAACACTGTTGTAGGTCAGTGATGGCGAACCTTTTAGACACCAAGTGCCCAAACTGCAACCCAAAACCCACTTATGCATCATCGGGTGCCGGGTGTGGCTGGGTGTGGCCAATTGGGTGGGTGTGGCCCATTGGGTGGGCATGGCTGCAGTGATAACGGCAGACTGGGTGGGACTAAATAGTTCAATCAATCAATTCCAACTTTGCAAGATCTTTTTTTCCCCCGCAAGAAGTTGAAATTGACTGATTGATTGAACCTTTTTTTTTTTTTTGCACACAGCGGTGGAGGCCTAAAGCGAAAAGGTTTTATAAATCCCAGCTGAAGGCCTAGGACTGGGGCGACGGTGCGCGTGCCCACAGAGAGGGCTCTGAGTGCCACCTCTGGCACCCGTGCCATAGGTTCGCCACCACTGTTGTAGGTCATCTAGTCCAGGGGTACGCAACTTTGGCTCTTTTATGACTCGTGGACTTCAACTCCCAGAATTCCTGAGCCAGCTGGCTCAGGAATTCTGGGAGTTGAAGTCCACGAGTCATAAAAGAGCCAAGGTTGCGTACCCCTGATCTAGTCCAAGCCCCCACCCTGCCCAAGCAGGAGACCCTGGACTACACCATTTCTGACAGATGGCAGTCCAGTCTCTTCTTGAAAGCTTCCAGTTATGAAGCTGTTTCTCACAGCCACATTTCGAGGTATCATTCATTTGAAAATAGGCCACTTTAACAGAAGTATATAACTAAGATCTTAAATTACAACACATTTTAAAAAGGGGGGAGGAGTTGCGAGTGGTCATTCACTTTTAAATTAATTTCTGTCCATTCATAAGTCTTGAGGAAGTCAATAAGGTTTACATGCGCATTTTCAGCAGAAGAATACATTTTGATGCATTAAGTATGAGACAGATTTTTCTTATTAGATTTTATTCTTTTACATAAAATTACATTTTTGAGAAATAGTAATTAAAAATGTAGAATTAAACCCAAGAAGTTCTGTAATTGCAAAGAGTTATTACAACATGGTAAATTGTTATATATGAGCTTTCTCAGGTAAAGGGCCAATACTGGCAGACTAATTTCATGTGCAAAATAGTCATAAAGCTGACACCACAGATATGGCACTTGCTACATAGTAATTATACTGGTTCAAGGGCCTAAGTTCTAGCACATCTGCAAAGAAAGCCAATTTAAATGCTGAAGGAAGCAAGCACTATTAGTGTACCAAGAAATGTCTGATATAATTTCTGCTATCAGATATCCTTGCAAGTATGTTGGTGTATACTTTTCAAATTATTTATTCCATTAGCAACTATTCCTAGGAAAGTATATTTATACCTAAATCCACTGGCATCAATAAGTTAAACTTCACTCATTCCTGAGGTTTAGGCTGTAAACACTAAACTCTTTGTGAATATATGGGCCATCTTGAAATAACTGAACAAGTTTAAGTTAAGGATAGAAAGATATAAACTTGGCCTTCACACCCTCACTACACAATAATTTTTAATGATATACACAAATTAGGTTCTTTTCCTTCTTGAGGTTATCCAAAGGCAACATTTAAGAAATTTCCCACTACAGGTATCCATCCAGGGAGGCAATTGACCTTATGTGCATCATGACATGATGCAAAACTTATGACTTAAGTACTAGTATCCAACATTGGGTCCAACTATGAAAGGCCAGGACTGCAACATAATGCATGCATCATCATTTTTGGCAAAGTGATTTACAGCAGATACTAATCTGTATTTCCAGCTAAATGGTTTTTTCAGAGAAGGGGAAAATTTGAAGTAAAGAACTAGTAGAGGGGAGATAAGAAAATGTTTAGCCATAATGACCACTATTTAGATTTGTCTGTTAATGCACAGATGAATAAAAGAGAAAAGTGGTAATCTTATACTGTATGTAATTATGTTATAATCCAATATAGTATATTTTGTACTATGTAGAAAACAGTGAGCAGCAATCATCTAGATTATGGGTATATATGATGCACCTCTCCATATTCAAATGAGTTTCATATAATAAAAATCATGTCTTCCTCCATATTGTATCAGTATATATCAGTAATGGCTTATTTCCTGTTGAGGGGATGGAGAACAGAAATATTACAAAAGGTCCTAAGAGATTTCTATAGTACAGCTATCCTTTCAATCCAAAGTGATGCTTCTCAAAAGTCCACAAAAAGGCACCTAAGCCACATATGTCAACAGTCTATCCAGCTCTCTATCCATTGTTTCTAATGTCAACATATTTTAACCATATATAACCAAGAGGGGGGGGAAAAGATACACAAGGAAGCTTGCCTCTAAAATTCCCAAGAAGATTCTATAGGTCTGGATGGTGGCCTTGAAATTAAATATGAAAAAATGGTTAAAGAAAAACTGCCTGGAAAATTATTAGTGGGGGGATTCTTTTACTCTTCCATGTTAGGTGTTTCAGTTCCATTTTTGGAAAATAGTGACTAAAGCGTCATGTGATCCTTCTCATTTGTTTTCTATATACTGTATATATTTCATCAGAGCAAAGAAATCACAGCCTTCTGGGTTGCTTCAGTGCTTTCGATAAGGAGAATAGTTTTTATTGGCAAAAGATAATCAGTGTAATCGCTCACTATCCTTAGATAGTATACTCATTCATTGACATCCCAGATCTCTGAAAGAAGTGGTGGCAGCTTTTTGTCCTGTAGCCGAAGAGCAAACACTTGTTCAGAATGAACACTACTTAAAGTCCGAAGGCTGACCAGTTTCATTAACATCCGTGGGAACATTAGATGATCCTATAAGATCATACACAAATAGACAAAGATATCAGAATGATCAAAATTCTGTTCCTCTGTTTTACTTTTCATACGTAGAATAAGATTAAATACCATTTGCCTACTATAAGGGTAATAACATTTTAAAGCATTGTGGACTGGCCCAATAGTCTCAAATTCTATGCTATCAACTACAGAATAGCTAAATAAATTATAGAAAATGTAATCATATGCTAAGCATGGTACTAGGTATTTGAATCTTAATATTTGCTCCCCAAAGATTCCATGAACTTCCAATTCTTCAACTATCATTTTTTATATAAAAAAAAAAAATCCTCCCCTTTGCTTCTATAGAACAAGACTATCCCCCTTAGCATCTCTGACTAAAAGATATCAGAATGATCAAAAGCACTAGACATATGTCTATTCTCTGAGTAAACATACATTCTCTGTTCTTTTTATTCCTAAAACTGAATAAATGTAAAATGACAAAGTAACAGTAGCACTGCACGTAGAAAGTTCATATTCAAGAGTAACACATTGCTTGGATTTAAAAGCAAAAAGCTGATTTGGAATAGCACCTGTTTGCAACCCCATAAAGTAGCTGCTTATTTGTTTTTGTTTTTTAGGTCCTGCAGCAGCCTGGCTCAAATGCAGCAACTTCAGGGGAAATATGCATTTGGTTTAAAGCATTACAGATACACCCACCACTTTTGCTTTCAAATCTAATGCTTTACATAGTCTAAAAGAATTTCGGATTCAGAAAAATTTGTAGTACAGCTGTTTGTCAGGATATGGCTAAATATTTGTTAAAAACTCAGCCATACCATGCAGCCCATGATGGCTAACTTACAAGAGATTCTGTTTTAACCAGATTCTTTCATACATTAGCAATGCAGTCACTTTCGCAGCCTAGCCAAGACACTTACATTTGGCCTATGAATACATATATATGAGTGAAGGGCTTCTACATAGGTATGCTGCAACTTTTCTACCAGAGTTTGATCTTGAACATTTGGCCGGTCTGTTAAGGAAACAAAGCATCATTTTTTAAAAAAAAATCTATTTGTCAAATTCATATGGCTGCCCATCTAACCTGAAATAACTCTAGGTGGCATACAATAAACCAAGAATTAAAACATCTTTCAAACCCATTAAAACAATAAGCATGGATAAAACAAAGCTATGAGAGGAAAGATGTTTACATACAGTATAACCAACATGCTGGCTCCATGCTGGTTATACTGTATGTAAACATCTTTTTAATTATTTTCTTTAATCCATGCTTATGGAAGGCTCCAAGGAGCTTGTAATTATTTGTTTGTTTGTTTGTTTTTAAATAAATATATACGTCACTGAATCCAAAGTGCTCTCTGGCTAAACTCAAAAATCTTAGTGCCGTGTCTGTTTTCCCAGTCCACTCTACAACCCTCTAAGCACCTTATAGCTTAGAAACAGCATAGAGAAAAAGTGCTTGAGGATTCAATTTCCCCATCTGTGATTTATCTTTTTTTTTTTAAGAAAACATCATTGAGAAAGAATTTTCACAGTTCAGCAAAAGCCAAGCATCTGCTTCAACAGCAAATAAGGAAATAGAAAGAAACAACAATAATGTGCTGAATATTAAGCTATGAACAAGACATCTCTAAGACAGATGACTTTGAAGAAAATGATTGCAGCCCAAGCACTTTTAGATGTACCAGATCCATCATCTTGTCTATTCTGATCCCTCCCTGCAGATATCACCAGCCTTGAATATAAGTACACCGTGACACAACTAACCCATACATCTCCTCTCTGAAGGTCCCAGCACCATCCTTCATCTGCTGCAGTACACTACTACCAAGTTTCCCCATCCTATAATACCTATGCCCAAAATATACATGTTGTGGGCCTGCATCTGGTTTAAATACACACATTCTGGGTTTTGACAGAATGTGTATGTTTTGAGTCAACCATGATCAACCCAAACCTTATTACTCCATGACTAGGACATTAGAGCACAACCTTAATTATTATCCATGACAAATGCGTTCCTTACAAACAACATTAGGACACTACTCTAAGTATTATATGCAATTCTTCTTGATTAAAGATTCTTTTTACATTTTTGATCCATCTTTCTCCCAGCTTGTTACCTGCAGAAAAAATGCTGATGGCTATTAAAAGTGCAAACTCAGCATCATTGAGATGCAGCTCATTCATTCTCTTTGAAAATCCAAAAATGGGATTAATAAACTCAATTTGTAGGCCTGAGGGGGAAAAAACAAAAAAATGATTTAGAAATATATACAGCTTATGTATATTGTACCCGTCCCCCGCCCGCAAATGGCATGTGCAACTCTAGATGAATATACTGGTAGTCCTTGTTTAAGGATCATAACTGGAATCAGCAACTCGGTCATTAAGCAAAGTGGTCAATAAATAAAATTGCAACTACACTTATGATCTTAATTCAGCTTTCCTTTGCTTTACAAACCTGTGAAGGTCATAAATGAAATAATTGGTTGCAGAGTTACTTTTTCATCACTATTGTAAGTGAAAAGTTACTAAATGAGGCAGTCACTAAACAAGGACTACCTGTATTTAGCAGGGAAAACTGTAGTCCAATAGAACAGGATAATTCCTCTCCCTTATGTTACTTCTGAGAATAAGCAATCTATTTTATTGTATTACTGCATTTCCTGAAGAACAATCAGATGTAGACATGCCTGAGCTTCATAGCTTAACAAGATGGGAGAATACCATAGAACATCAGGACTTATAGACCAGAAGTTAAAATAACCTCCAAGGTGACAATGACAAAGCTTGCTTATTGCTATTAAGGAAACTGCAGGGATGCATTCATATGATTACCAGAATTCAAGCTTGATTCAGGAACATCTTTATTTGATTGAAAGCTATATGACAATGATGGGAAGACCCAAACAAAACATCATAGACCTATTTCCTTCATATCATGCACTCTTCTCTCTATTTCTTTCATTACCAAAACACATGCATAGTAGAAAGGAATGTGTGAGGAAGTCTGAACTGATTCCTTGCAACAAAAAAAAAAAACCCCTCCTGAAATTAATCTGAAAATGTTCTATGGCCCGAAGCCACAACTTCTCCATCCCAAATTTGGACATCTACACTCTCCCTAAATATACTATGTACAGTATACTGGTGAATAAGCTGAGAGTTTAGATGTCAAAATGTGTCCAAAAATGTTTCAACTTAACTGGGGATGGGTTTACCTACAACTATATATAATAATACTTTTTTAAAGTACCCAATATCCTGTATATACTCGCTTATAAGCCCATGAATGGACAAGGTGACCCTCAATTTTTTAACCAAAATATCATGAAAAATGGATAATCCATGCACTACCCACAGATAGACAACTGTAAAAAATTAAAACACAAAAATTTCCAAGGTCAAGTTATCTGCAAATGGTGCATTTTTGTTAATTCAAAAAGTGATTTATCCAGGGATGGATTTATATGCTAGTATTTACAGTGTGTGCATCTGTGCTCCCACATGCGTGCATGCATACACACACTCACAAACACACCCTATATTCACAATGTCACAGATAGTCTGGGGATTTCAGATCAAGCAATAAAAGAAAAAAATACAGGAACAATTGTTTGCTGCCTAGACAAGCTAATATTCATTGTTAGAGCAGTGTACTTGAAAAATTAAGAGAAAAAAAATTAATTATATGCTTCCTTTAAAATTCTGTATAAACATGTATAGGCATGCACGCATGTGGGAATACACATACACACGACATACATATATATCAAAAATATAAATATCCTACCCTTTTTTCAAATGTTCAAGTATTTAGCACTACCTTCTCCAATTTTTCCCAACAGTCCTAAGAGATTAACTGGATTGATAGAGAGTGAGTGGCCCAACATCATCCAGTAAGCTTCCATGCTTAAAAAAAATTACCTGAATCTGGTTTTCCCCAATCTCATGCAACACCTTAACATTACATTTGGACTCCAATTTTGTCAGTTTGGTATAGTGGTGAAGATGCTGGCTTAGAAACCAGGAGACTGAATTCCAAGCCAGTCACTTTCTCTCAGCCCAACTTACCTCACAAGATGGCTGTTGTGGGGAAATATAGGAGGCAGGAATACCGGTATTAGGTGGTGCTTTTCAATTTGAGTTATATATAAAGTATGGGATAAAAATCTAATAATAATCTTCTACCACACATTTTCAAGTTATGAAGTTATGTGTGATGACAGAAAGTTAGAAAGGAAGAAAAAGACTTTATACTAGAAGTCTAGCAATACAACACCTATAATAGTCACGTTTTTGGATACCTATTTCATATCCTCCAAAAATGTTCTGGTAGGAGACCATATTATCTCTTCTAATCCACCCTAACTTTATTTTTTATAGTATTACTGGATTGCTATTTCCCAAACTTTTGCCAGGTCTCATATTTCAGGTTGAGGATTAAGCCTACAATCTTTCATAAAAGAATTTTGATTTCATTTTCTAGAAAAGAAGTTGCCATAATATTGATCGATAATGCAGGGAGAACAAATCTCTTTTATACTCTGCAATGTGCTTAACTCACCAGCCTTGGAAAAGTCATCCTGATTGTAACTCAAATCTTTCAAAAAAGTTATGCTTTCAGTTTCTGGATTGTAGCGCCTAGATGTCTCCAACAGCATCACCTTGAATATACATATACAACACACATACCAAAACCAGTCACAATTATAAATCTGACAATAAAATCAATTAAAGTGTTATTGCACTCACATATCATAAGTGATGAAAGAAATACTTTTTGATAACAAAAATTATCAAAAAGAAGTTGTACAGTATCTTTGATACATCTGTTTTGCTTTGTTTTTCTTTATTTAAGTTGTAAACTACATTGAAAGTACAGAAAAATGAGAGATAAGATGATTAAATACACAACATATAAAAACATTTTTCTTATCCTCTCCTTTCTCTCCACTCCTTTCTACACTTAAGTTTCTCCTAAGGTTAATGATTTCTCTGGACTGATGCAGGGAAAACTTCATAAGTAAGATGTCTTTTTAATAGAAATTAATTTGAGAAAATTCTCTACTTTCATCTCTCTGAAGCATGGCTATCTTTCTGAAATAGGCCTCCTTGATTCTCAAAACACATATTTTGCCCAGGTCTGCAGAGTTCAAGTGCCAAGAGGAAAGTACCAATCCACCAAACATCCTTTTAGGATTCCAATCAAAGTATGTTCCTGTGAACCCCACTAGGTAGACCAGACCTACTAAAATTACTTTTATTGAGATTGATTATAATATTGCAAATCTGATTGTGCTGTACTTTCTTCTCCATTCTTATGTACTCCAGTAGTTAGGAAGGTTTCTGCTTGAGTCACTTCCAAATGTTCTCTTTTTGCTCTGGACTTAAAACTTGTCTCAATCCCTTTTGCCTAGGTAATAATTCTTGCATATCAAAGTGATTTTCCACACACTGACTAGGGTTTCAGACCAAATCTTCATTCCACTTTCTATGGTCACCATAATATCACTTGGAATTTGATTAAGATCTAGAGGTTCAGAACCTCTCAAACAGACATAAAACCAGAAGAACAAGATAGTAAAAGTAGTAAACTCCAAAATATCCCACTAACTTCTAATGTCCATAGAAAAAGGTTTGGGAGCAGAAATGTCTTTATAGCCCTCCAGAATACCCACAGGATGAGAGCCATTCATATCTCAGGAGAAACAGATGACATTGTTTAATTTTAAGAATCTGGAGCATGCCAACCTTTTTAGCCAAAATTGGCCAGCCAGATACCATTGAAGATTGATGGCCCTTCCAGTAACTGGGCTATATGCCATGTAAGGAATTATAGCACTTTAAATCACATGGAAGTAAACTAGCAACCAATGCCATTCACACAGCAGAGATGTCACTTGCGTATACCGAGGCATGCCGACAACTTCCACAAGAGGAAGGAACTGGTAGTTAAATCCTGTTTTCTAAAATACCCTCTAATTTGGAAAGCTAACATCAGAAAACTTTAACTTAAAATTAATCGTTTTCTCATTAGGTATGTGACTTTTAAAATGCTTTTTGATCTTAAAATTGCTGTAGTGAAACATTAATAAAAATAAAAAGCTTGTCTCCTTTGTCATTAGGTGATATAAAAAGAAACTGTATGTTCTCGTTGTGTATGCCAATATATTTATTTGATTTCTATAGTTGCCCATTTCACAAGTGATTTTAGGTGGAATACATTATAAAAACAATTTAAAAATACAAAATAAATGTATATGGTTGCCGAGTAATACTATCGCTATAGATGTTAACCTAGCTAAACAACCAGAGCGCTTAACATACTCAGGGCCCTATGCCCAGACACATAACCAGGTCTTCACAGCTTTATGAAATGCCAACAGGGTCAGGCTTATCCTAATCTCTGAAGGAAGAATGTCCCAGAGGGCAGAGGTTTCAGCAGGAAAGGCATATCTCCTAGATCCTGCAACGAACTTTCCTTGGCTGACTCCTAATTTACCCAACTTGCCAGACTAAAATGGACAGATAGCAATGACTGGGGGAAGATAATCCTTTAGATAACTCAAGTGATAAATGTGATAACTAGCCCCTTGAATTGTACCAGAAGCATGGTGGTAACCAATGCAGCTCACATAGCAATAGTGTTACATGTGTCAAATATCTGTCACCATTTATTATCTGTGCAGCCAAATTATGCACAGGTTGAAGTTTCATAATGTTCTTCAAGGACAGTCCAATAAAGAGCACATTGCAGTCATCAATAAGGTCACAAGGCATGAATGACTGTAAACAATGACTCCACTCCATAAATGAACACAACTGGTACACAACATTAAGGTATATAAAGGCCCTCCTTACTACAGTTGCCTCCTGCTCCTCATGGAAAAATGGCAGAGTACTTACTTCTATTGTAGAAGTCTTCAAAAGAGCAATTTGGTCTTCTCTAGTGAGTTCCAAGAAACCTGGCAACTGTTTGGCAAAGTCCACAATTTCCTGCACAGAAATGATGGCAAGCTCTGTGAAATGAGCAAAACGCTGTTGTCGTGCTTCACGATGAAGAGGATCTGAAATCTGAGGCCATGGCTGCAATTAAATAGCAAACCCACAAAGAGGGAAAGAAGAAGACTTTAATAAGAGTAGAAATTAAAAACAGGAAGTCCATTGAAATTAGTATCCCCAGTCTCACAATTATCTCATAGCTCTCATACAAGTTTGATCAAAACAAAACTAGTATTATATCTGATTAATATATTTAACTAATTGTCATACAACCCCTCAAGAACACGTTACACAATCCTTTGTCACTAGGAATTCAGGTGAAATCATTCCACTTCAAAACAAGCAAATTTCCACAAACTATTCTTTCAAACTATACTTTGGCCACCTAATGAGAAGGAAGGACTCACTGGAGAAGAGCCTAATGCTGGGAAAGATTGAGGGCAATAGAATAATGGGACGACAGAGAATGGGGTGGCTGGATGGAGTCACTGAAGCAGTAGGAGTGAGCTTAAATGGACTCCAGAAAATGGTAGAGGACAGGAAGACTTGGAGGAACATTGTCCATGGGGTCGCGGTGGGTCTGACACGACTTTGCAAATAACAACAACAAATTCTTTCAGGTCTTTGATTTCAGTCTATTATACAGACCCCCTTGGGTCTCAGGAGACTGTTAGAATACAAATGCTGTATCTGTTAAGTATGAGTTATTATTCCATAAGTTAACCATCCACTAAACAAAATCAAAAGAAAGCTTTAATGAAGACAAGTGTGTGTCTGCTTTCTCCCTCTATTTAACAGACCACAAAAATGGTGCTTTTACCGTCACTTTGAGCCTATCTGTGAAAGACCGTTGATTACACTGCTGTTGAGCTGCAACAAGTTTTTCTATCATAACAAGCTGCTCTGGTGTCATTTTGGGAGGGGTACTTGGAGGAGATGGTGGGTTCTGACGCATAACTATCATTCGGGCTTGATCATCTTCCCGCTTCTTAAGTTTCTTCAGCTGGATTTGCTCTTCAGAGAGAACACCTAAATGTAGAGCACAAGACAGATAAGAATCAATGATACTATGGCTACCAACCAGCTTACAGTACATAATCACTTTTGCAAAAACCTCAAAGTCAATTCCATCCATAATTAAATTGAACATAATTTGCAGTGAGAAACCCAGCCACAAAAATAGGAAAAAGGAGAGGATAAAAATATATCTTAAAAGGAGAGAGAAAATATACCCTTTCACACCAGAATATGCCCAAATAGCAAAGAAAAAGCATTTGGTCAAACAGGTAAAATGAAGTGCTGGAAAGGATTCTGATAATAAACTGATAGAAAATTTGACAGAAAGCAGTCTATATTCTAGGCCGGCATTTTATAATAACATTATCAATTTAAATCAGAAAAAGGACAAAAATGAAAATTATTAAAGAATGCATTGACTTTAAGAAGAGTAACAGAAGATTGTAAATATGCTGCATAGAGATTCCAGATACTTAGGAATGTGGTTATACTTATATTTGCCTGTCATAAGATTGTATACATCGAGAAGCACGTTTGAAGAAAGAATATTTTATGATTTCGGAGAAGATGCTGTCATATAGCCCCATTTTTATTTCTGGTGAAGCAATCATGAATTACTAAATAAATTAGTTTAAGATCTAAAATCTAAGGAAATTATGAAATGGAACTGTGAAGGAGCCTTTTCAGTTGTCCAAAATGGAAAGCTAATTCTAGGATGGTTTGAGCTGTTAAACTCTTAATATAAAAACTTCTAGTGATTTTATGTGAATATAATTATTTTTCTGTTCAATTGTGTCCCATTCTTGGAGATTGCCTGGACAAGTCCCTGCAGTTTTCTTGCAAGATTTTTCAAAAGTGGTTTGCCATTGCCTCCTTCGTAGGGCTAAGAGAAAATGACTGGTCCAAGATCACCTAGCTGGGTTTGTGCCCAAGGCAGCATTAGAACTCACAGTCTCTTCTCCGCCCAGTATGGTGCTCTGAACTAGCAGCACATATCTTTGCTCTGCTGGACAAATGGCTGGTTTGATAGCTACAGAGCAGGTCTCTGTAGCTATATTATTCTTGGATTAGAAAAAGAGTGGCACACAATTGCCCTGAAGCTTCTTGATGGCATTCCTTGGCTGGGTATGTAGTGGTTAAGGCATCAGGCTGGAAACTGGGGGACTCAAAGTGGCAACTGCCCTTTGAAATATGCTATTATGTAGAAGCTCAGCTGGTTTACCATTTAGTAACAGGGATCAATACTTGGCACTTTGGAAGTTGCTATACATTGTATGCCTACTTTATAGCTACCTGACAAAGAGAACAATTTGGGATTTTTTTCCCCATACTGAACCTAGAAAGAAGGAAACATTTAGGAAATCTATCTGATAAATTAAATACGGATTTTAAGGGGCGTGCAAATATCCATTTACATCCTATCAAAGGAGTATAAAGAATTAGGGTAGTAGCAATATAAGATGTGCTCTTATATTCAGTGAAAAAAATGAATTAATTTTCAGAACAGCAATGTTATAAATCATTTTGAAACAAACAAAAAGTGTACCATAATTGAAAAAATCTAACAAACAGCAGCAACCTAATCTGAGATAATAATTCTGGTATTAATGGTCTTAAATATTCTGAATTTTGTAAAAATTCAAATAAAAATAATTTAAATAATTTAATTTAACTATATTTTATTCAAACTGCTTGCTTTAATATATTATTTTCTTAGGTCATTGAGATTCTATGACAAAGAGAACAATGTCAGTTTTATTATAAAATGTAGCTAAAGGAAACACTTTTCTCCTACAGCAATATTTCCAGAATGATCCTTGATATCCCTACACCAGGGCTTTTTTTCTCATAGAACGCCCAGAACGGAGTTCCGGCCCCTTTTTTGGATGGAACTTTGTAGGGTAGGCAAGGCGGGTTGTATGATGTGTGTGAGTTCCGGCACCTTTTTTTTTTTTTCTTCAAAAAAAGCACTGCCCTACACTAGATACTTACATTGCTCTCGCATGCCTGCTTCATAGCACTTGCGTAACCGGCACTCCTGACATTTCCGGCGCATGTACGTATCCATTTCACATTTGCCACTATTCTTGCAGATATATTGGGCTCCTTTGATCACACTGCGTCGGAAAAAACCTTTGCAGCCCTCACAACTCAGGACATTGTAATGGAAGCCTGAGGCTTTGTCCCCACATACGCTGCACACCTCGTTTCCAAGCATCTTAGGGGCTGGACCCTTCTTCCTTTTCAAGGGAGGATTTTCTAAAGCAGAGAAAAGGGATGAAAAGAAAGACTCTGAAATTAGGTCTGAAAATGAGAGAAAAAGAGCTGCTTGTGATGTATACATGTTAACAGTTTTTTTTCATATAAAATAAAATGCCAACCTTGGAGAAATCTGAAATGTTACATTTAGGTGCAATCAAAGGACATAATGACCTGTGGTGAAGGAAGGCCTTCTTTGGGTATACTGTTGTAATAATATTTACCAATGGTATTCTATGCACTTCTAGAGTCATGGGGCTATAATTCAGATGATTCAATTAATATTAAGAACAAGAATTATATCATCTCAGAATATATAGGAACAATCAGGGGTAAGAATTCTGTTCCCATAGTTTTAAATATTCCTTGAAATACCAAGCTAGAATATTGGATAAAAACTGAGCAATATATATAGTTAATCAATTCCCCATTCTGTATACATATCTATTTAAAAAGAATCAGCAGCCATTTACATTAGACTCTGAGAGGGCCAGAAAATAAAAATCTCCTAGAGTGTTTCACATATAAAGGTAACAGACACAGAGAATGGGTAGCTAAAGAAAATATTAGCTCTCAAAACTGGCTGTCCTTGTCTCTCTGTGTCATAATGGTATGTGGGAATTACCTTGGGAAATGGGGAAGAGATGCTACCTAGAAACAGTCAGATGAGAGAAGCTGCATCAGGGGTGGACAAAGTGCGTCAGAAGGGATACCCCCTTAGGTTTTAGTCTCCAAAGGAGACAGCGGGGGATCTATACTTTCAGACTTGCAAGATTCTGTTCATGTAGTCTTACAATAAAATAGAATTAGTTCATCTGGTCGTGTTTCCTTTCTAGGAAGGCTGACATTCAGCAGGGATCAGCATTGTTTTTTTCAGTCTGACTGGGAGAGCTTTTACCAGCCTGATGCCATGTAAGCCAGAGAATGCTAGAACTGATTTCAGTTCTCATAGTTCCTCAGATAATATAGCTGTTGGCCTTGCTCCATGGGGATTATGAAAGTGAAGTCCAACACACGTTTCATTTACATTTTACAGTTTCTTGAGTCAGTTTCGTAAACTTTTGAAATCATAAATAATCCAGACTATTCACTGCAAGCAGATGGTTAGTGTTCATACCAGAAACAGAGATGCTTCTTTCTAACATTTTTCAAAACTCTGAAAAACCAAGCCAAACACCACCACCCTTGCAAACTTTTGAGACCTTCTCATGAATTTCTCTCTGCGTTTCTTTCCTTTACCTTTTTTCAAAGCTAGACCCAAGATTTATTTCATACTCAATATCATACCATATTCCATAATTGTTATCCCCATTATCCTATAATGTATTGTAATGTATTGAAGGGAGATTGTTTTGTTTTTATTGTGCAAAAACTGTTTTAAAATTTAATGAAATCCACAGTACTACATAGAATTTTACCGTATACATCTATCACATGATTTGTTTTAACATAGAGATAATTTCTTACTGCATTCTGAAGCTATGAATTAAAACAAGAATGTAGTCTTACCTATAGGTTCAGAGGGAATCTCTGAGTTCTGGAAAAGTGCAAATACTTTTTCTTCCATGTTAAAAACGCTTGTCTTCTTCCCATGGTTCTGTGTGACAAGATGAGTGGGACCCATGGTGGCTATTCTACAGGGGCTCACGTTCTTGTAATCTCTAAAGCATGTTTATGACCATACTCAGGGTGTTTGCATGCAGCGTTACAATGACTTCATAAAATGGAGAAAAACAAAAGCTATAATAAAAGAAAAACAGAATTCCTGAAGTTATATGGAAGTCTTATGTTTCCAAACTACCACCCACAACAGTATCCATCCAGGCTGCTGCCAGCTACAATTATTCAACCTCAAAGAATTATAGTTTTTCTCCTTTAACTAGAAAACACTTCTTTTCAATAAAACTTATTTTTTCTGTTAGAAATTAAATATTTTTATCAATAATATAATACTCATAATAGAAATAGCATTTTAATTATTTGTTGGTTTACAAGCAATTTTTCAAACAGCAGCTGAAGAGGGTATACGTAGCTTGTCCAGGGCTGTCATAACCAGATTATCCTAGCTTGTCCAGGGCTGTCATAACCAGATTATCCTAGCTTGTCCAGGGCTGTCATAACCAGATTATTTTAAGCAGCATTCTCCAACCTGATGCCCTCCAAATGTGCTGTGCTATATTGATGGGTAATATTGGGAATTGTATTCCCAGTAGATCTGAAGAATATCAGTTTGGGAAAGTTGGACAAAAGGTGAAGAAGCCAGTCAAATTTCCCAAGAAAGTATTTTCACTTTTGATTCATGAATCTATTTTTCATTACTTGTATATCTCCAAAAACATTCTTTAATATTTAAGCAGATCGGAAACCTAAGTCATAAAACAATAAAACCTTAAAACTACTTCATATCATTCTTCAAAAATAATCCAAAACTAAGGCAGCTTCCTGCCAAAAAAAAATATTCTGAAATACTGTAGTATGGGAAGGAAGGAAGGAAGGAAGGAAGGAAGGAAGGAAGGAAGGAAGGAAGGAAGGAAGGAGCAAAACAGCCTAGCTGCCTGAAAGCTAATAGGTCTTTATTATCACTTTATCATCTGGGTTCAGCTATTCTCAGTAAAGTATATTGCCCTGATTACCATTTTTAGGACCTTAGAAGTAGTGAAATGCAGCAGTGTGCCTGATTGTGGTGGTTTCCTTACACACCAAACTAAAACTTCACTGTGGTAATTTCCATTCTAGCAAAACTCAGATTTAATGAAAAGTTACAGTACCTCAGTAGAAAATCTACTTTAGAGAACATTTGCTGAATGACTATGTGAGATATATTTAACCAAACTTCCTTATTTAAAACAAAAAAAATCAGAGAAGATCTAAATACATTAAAAGGGGAAAAGATTGAATCGCCCCACCTAGATATCTGAAAAAACATTCAATTTGGTCTTTTGCTGCTGTCAGCTCAGTAATTAAGCAATACTGCTTCAAAGTAGTACTGAAGGGTAGAATATGCCAGGAAACAGGGTGTATTACCAGACAGCTGGAGCCAAAGAAAAGGATATGGATGCTTGACTAAGGGAATTTCAAAATTGACATGTCATCACATGCAGAGGCCAAAGCAGGCAGCAAAAGTGAAACTTGTTACTTAGCACAATTTTTGACTGGGGAAAAGTGATGTTGGCATTTAGAGCTGGGGAAGTTGTAGTGCATCTCTGAAGAAGAAAAACAACAGTCAGAAGTGAGCATCACTCTTCTCTGTTCCCTTGAAATGAACCTGATAACTCGTTGATAATAGTTTCTTTTTTTAAAATACTTCTGAATTCCATGAAAAGTGCTTGCAATAACTAGGTAATCTCATCTGTGTGTTTACTTCCCAGTCATCTTGCCTGGCTCTCTTTCTTGGTTCATTCAGTGCTATTTCATGAATCTTAAATACCTGAATGGGAAAATAAATTCTACACTGTTAATTATTCAATTAAATAAAAACAGTATTGTACCTACTGCAATACCCAGGCACTTCCTACACCTTTTGGTCATCATGGAGCAACCATGTCTGATTTTATTTTCCTTTACTGAGACACAGATCCATTTAAACGTCAATCTCACTGACAATTGGATAATGAATAAGAGCTCAGTTATTAACAAGAATTGATGCACTTTGCATACTGTAGATCCATTCTAACACTATTCCCCATTTTTCTCGAGCTGTAGAGAAAATGATATATATGATGAGGGAGAGACAAATCTGGGAGGAGTGAAGAAAGAGCTGAATAACGTGGAGATCAGTACTATCAAGTTCAACATATTCATGATGCTCCTGGAACTAAAAAAAAAAAAATCTCATCCATTGCCTCTTCCAATTATAAACTGCACCATTGAATTATAGTAATACAGTTGCCAAAAAAAGTACATTTGCAGCTTCCCCCTATTTTAAAACAAAAAAATACATACTCAATGCATGAAGAAAATTTCCAAATTCCTGCCGAAACCAGAAACCCAATCCCTATGTTTAAGATGATATTCCCCTCACTAACTTTGAGTTGTCTTTGCTCATCACACTTTTCACCTCTCTCCCACACATTAAATATGGCCCCTGGACACAAAAACATGATCAGCTCCTGATCTTTCTCGAAAGACTATAAAGGCTTAAGAGAAAAACACACAAACACACATACACACACACACACACACACACACACACATACATATATTCAATAATATACAATCTTCGAACTGAGTGTGAGCTACAGTATATGCCTTTTGCTGATTTGTTCACTAGGAAGCTATATATTGGTGTTTTTGCTGCAACAGTTTAACAAAACATAACAATGTAGACATTTTTAAATACCACATATTAGTTTTACTTATGGATCCCTAAGCAGTTTCAGGCACATAATGATTCTCTAGTAAAAAGTTCCCAATTAGGAATGTTCATGACTACGATAAACTTTGAAATCAAAGACTGCATTGTATTAAAAATATAAGGGATCATTATAGCATGAAATATTTTCAAAGGAAGAATGTATGTTAGAGAATTAGCAAAACTAAAGAAAATCTGCAGTGATGTTTCAATGGGAAACAACAATGAAGTCAGAATAATCTTCATCTTTAAATTATTTGTTTTATTATATCATAATCAGAAACCAATTCCCAATAGCTTACAATATAAATAAAACCATGAAAATAAAAATATAAAACAATTAATCAACATAGGTACCAACCCCCTAATCTCAATCATGGAGATAATTCAATCTTAAAGGATCTTTGGATATAATAATAATAATAATAGTAAAGTTGGAAGGGACCTTGAAGGTCATCTAGTCCAACCCCCTGCTCAGGCAGGAAACCCTATACCATTTCGGACAAATGGCTGTCCAGTCTCTTCTTAAAAACTTCCAGTGTTGGAGCATTCACCGCTTCTGGAGGCAGGTTGTTCCACTGGTTAATTGTTCTCACTGTCAGGAAG